TGCTAATGGCTCGCTCAAAGTCGAGGCCGCAGACACCCCTCGAGTGGAGTCTGCATCTCAGTCGCAAGTTGAATCCGTGGAGACGGATGCGAATCAGTCTCCCGCGCCGCGAGCTCCTGCACCAACCGGAGCCTGGGGTGGAGGTCGGAAGCCTAGCGGTGCTCTGGGTGCAGGCACTGCTGAAGCTCAAGTCGAATCTGTCGACTCTTCTGCAAATGGTGATGCGACTCCCAAGGACAACCCTGTCGACGCTGCTACTGCTGGCGTAGCAAGCATCAGCACCGCCTAGACAACTCATTCAGGCTCTCGGCTCATCACAACGAGCTGCCAGGCTTGTCACCCTCAAGCTCTACTCTCGCCAAAAGAACGATGGCTTGCATCACCGCCAAGGTCATCTTATGACGCTCGATTGCACGTCGAAGCGCCCATCAGTCGCCCTCTACGCGCATCGTTCCAAAATGACGCTGGATAAGGAAACATTCCCTTGCCCTGCGTCAGCCCATTTCACATGACGGTGCCTCTCCCACCTCCTCGTCTGTATGTCTTTCTGTCACGCTCTGGCTCAACGTGCTACGTTGCCCGTCTTCTCAAAGGACGACGCCTACCCCGAAATTTCATGCGCTACACTGAATATTTAGAGTCTGACTCATCTGGGCTTGGTTTTCAGCAAAACACGTTTCGCGTCTGGCTCGAGGCTTGAAGAGATTCATTGTCCTATTTCTCTTGGCGCTTCTAGCGCTCGACACTACTGTACACTACAAATTTGGCTGCAATGTCAACAAATCAAGATCTGATTTGTTGCAGCTAGGCAGCAGTCAGTCGTGACTTCGTTTCACACGCCTCCGCGCGCACGATGCGCGCAGCTGCTTCCTAGCTCTGCTGTGCTTGTCGTTGCAAAGTCGGGTGGGCGATTGCGGGCGGCCTGCTGCAAGGAGGCGCGGAAATGCAATCGTGCTTCGCATGCACAGACCTCTTTTGCAGCACACAAGACTGTACCACTCACACTCCCACCAGCTCAGACCAGCCTAAGCTTCGACCAGTGCTTGCTGCGCCGCCTCTGAATCTCACAATCACCGCATCACTGACGACTGCCTGTGAATGCCCATCCTCCATCACTCGACAGACTTGGGCAACCTCGCTGATTGCAAGGCGAAGCAGGCGCACACAACCTGTTCAGGACACGGAGGACCTGGCATTCGCCAACTCGTAAGCATGCGACTCCATCCACATGGACGCACTCGGGCTTGCTCAATCAAACAAAGGCGACCATTCACTCTCACGACAGCGGTCACACTCATATGCTTGCTGCTTGCAA